GAGTGGGGATGGGGGTGGGGGTGTAGGGTGCGAGCGCGGCTGTTTGGCCTGTTCGGCAGCAGGGGTATCTGCTCCAAGGAGTCTGGTTGAGCAATCCATCGTGACCGATCCGGTGGCAAACGACCCCAACTCAAACCAGATCGCACACTTGCGGCACGAAATTGCAGCCAACGCCGACTTGAACGCCTTCTTCGGCCCCTCCACGCAAACCTCAAACGCGCCTCAAAACGCTCTTGTCAGGGCTTTGGGCGCTCGACGACCCCTCCGACCCCGCAACCGCCGCCGTCATCGCCGATGCGGTGGCCCACCCGGAGCGGTACGTGCTGAAGCCCCAGCGGGAGGGCGGTGGCAATAACTTTTACGGGGCTGAGCTGGCGGCGAGGCTACAGGAGGTGCGATGGGGCAGCTGGCGGCAGTTGTCGGGTGTGCGTGTGTGGGCAAGCGTGTTTGTCAGGGTTTTGGAGTGGTGGGGTTGGGGTTTTGGTGTTGGTAGGGTTTGTGCGTGTGTGTGTGTGTGTGTGTTTGTGTGTGTTGTGATGTGCATGTGGGGTTGTGTGCGTGTGGGTATGGTGAGCACGGGTGTTTCCATGTGTAGCATCGTGTATGTTACCAGCAGCATCGGCGGCGTGCCGCCGCTGCGAAAGTGGGGTCCCGCTGCATACCTCGCTGTCTCGTTGGACGGTCCCTGTGTCGCATCGAACCGCCCGGAGGGTATCCCCTGTAACCCTCACGAAATTGGCGCTTTTGAGCGCCAAACCGTGGCCTACTTCCCATGCATTGATCTGTATCCACCCACAAAACCATAAACCCAGGGCGGCGACGGCCTGGCTGCGTTCATCCTGATGCAGCGCATCCTGCCGCCGCCGCAGCGCAGCATCCTGGTGCGGCAGGGGCGGTGGGGCGAGGAGGAGACGCTCAGCGAGCTCGGCATTTACGGCACCTTTGTGCGCAAGGGGGACGAGGTGGGCTGCAAGGCGGCTTGCTTGGCAGGTGGCGATGCTGTTTGCATGCTGTTTGCATGCTGCTGCTGCTGCTGCTGCTGCTGCTGCTGCTGCTGCTGCTGCTGCTGCTGCTGCTGCTGCTGCTGCTGCTGCTGCTGCTGCTGCTGCTGCTGCTGCTGCTGCTGCTGCTGCTGCTGCTGCTGCTGCTGCTGCTGCTGGCCCTAGCGGCGCCACGCAAGCGGCAGCGATCCTGCGGCGGGCCTGCCTGGGAGGGCGTGCCTTGTGTCCCAGGCGTGTGGTGCGTGGAAGGTGGAGATTTTCAGGGAGCGACGAGCGCGGCGCGGCCGCTTCTGCCGACTCCAGTTAGCCAGCAGAAGCCAGCCTGAGTCCGAGGCTTGGTGCGCACCCCGTGAGACCTCCAAGCACTTGCCCTCAACAATCATCATATCCTGAAACCTGATTGCTAGGTGCTGCTGAACGAGAACGCCGGCCACCTGGTGCGCACTAAGACGTCCTCTTCAAACGAGGGCGGCGTCGCGGCCGGCTTTGCGGTGCTGGACAGCCCCCTGCTCGCGCGGCCGGGGGAGGGGCTGCTGCCGCCGGGCCTGGAGGCGGCGGGCGGCGATGACGGCGGCAGCGACAGCGGCGGCGTGCTGGGCACTGTGCTGAAGCTTATGGGGTCGCCTGGGCCGTGATGAGGGGACATGCTGAGCGCATGCGCAGGTGCCTGCGCTCAAGGGGATTTTTTTTTGAAACGCACTTGTAGAAACGTCTGTCACGTCGGTTAAAAAGTGTATTGATTTGAACCACTGCGGGTTTTACATTTTTGTGGGGCTGCCACCATCAGTGCAGTAGTCCCTGGAGGCGGAGGGGGCCACCAAGGTCGGCGCTGCAGCGGGGGGTTGGAAGGGTGCCGCATGCTCGCTCTGGCAGGCAAGAAGTCGCTCGTGGATGCGACCGCTGACGTGCCCAGACTGTGCGAGGGAAAGCAGCCTCTGTAATGCAGCTGAGCAAAGGTCTCTGTCGCGTGAACATCCTGACAACTCACCGTGCCTGGGCAAGATCAGGGAGTGTGACCAGGATGAAGGTCGTTTCACCTGGCCAGACACCCCACCAGCTCAGCAGCTCCACCTGCCTGCAAACAGCAGCGCACAGCACACATCGCCGCTTTGGAATTAGAGCATATCACCTGCTTGCTTTCACTCGTATAAGGCAGACCGCCAGGCTGCACATGCTGGCCCCAACCGCCCCAGCGCCTCTTCAAATATGACGTCACATCAGATTTTTTTGCACGCCCCTTGCATCCATTGATCAAAAGTCCCGCTTCTGAGTACATACACATCAACCCTCCTTTGCTTTGAGACTCCAGCACAGCAGCATCCGAGCAGAATTGCCTGTGCACCCCAGCAGAATGAGCACATTGCGGTTGCGCCCACACGAAGTGGCGGCAAGGAGCTCCAGTCGCGCAGGCACCAAGCTGCACCGGGCGGTGAGTGAGGTTTCAAGGTCGTTCTGCTTGTGGGCTGGGCTGGCGTGCACATTGGCACTCCCGGGATGCCAGGTGTGTCGGCGAGCAGCACACCTGGCAGGTCAGGACAGGCAGGTCCAGAACTGGTTTCGTGCCGCAGTCATTTTCATTGAGATCGGAAAAGTAAGCGCCACGCATCGCGAGGAGTATTCACCAGTCTTAGCGGCCAAACGATCGCGCGCGGGCAGCATCGTCGGTCAGCCCGCTATCAAATCGAGCAGGGAAGGCGCGAGACTATTTAAAATTTACGTGGTCAATACGGGAATGCTGCCCGCTATCGGCGCCCTCGCCGCGCAGCGCTTTGCGGGGCAGGCGACCGCTGCTTCGCTACTGCTCGCGCGGCGAACCCTTGCCCAGCGCTCCAACCAGGCAAGCAGCTGCGCCAAGCAGTAGTGGGCACGCGAATGAGGAGCGCTTGCAGGCCCGCGGGCCTTGTGGGCAGGCAGTTTCCAGGGTCGGAACGGGCCCGCCGCTGCCGCTTCCATCGCGGCGAACGTGCAGCCGCTGCTTCGGCACCCGTCTGCCCTGCGCGCCGCGCGCCCGCCGCCGACCCGCGAGCGGCCCCGACGCGCCCGCGCCCTTCCTGCACCACGCCGTCTGCCATTCGTAGGTCCGCAGCGACGCCATGCAAGCAGACGCCCCCGCCATGTGAGTCGCGGGCCCTTCCAAGAGGCCCCCCTTTGGCATGCGCCAGGCCAAACAGCACGCAGCGCCTGAGAAGAGCCAACGCCGCGGCTTTGAGGCACCGCGGCGCCACTGCATGCGGCATGCGCGCGCGCATGCGCGCCCGCATGCGACCGCGCTCGCTCACCGCCGCCGGCCCGCCCGCCCCCAACCCCAGGGATGCGCCGCCCGCCCACATCCCGCCGCACGGCGGCCGCCTGTCTGATCTGATGGTCCGCTCCGATGCGCGGCGGCGGGCGCTGGTGGGCGCGTGCGACCACGCCCAGGAGCTGTCGGACCGCAACGCGTGCGACGTCGAGTTGCTGTCGGTCGGCGGCTTCTCCCCATTGGAGGGCTTCATGGGGCGCCACGCGTACGAGCACGTGGTCCAGCACATGAGGTGGGGGGGGGGGCGAGACGGGGTCGCGGTTTCGGAGACGCTCCCTGTGACTACGGCGGCGGCAGGAGCGGCGAGGGGCCCGCGTTGCGAAGGGTCCCCGCAGGCGCGGCGGCGGCGGGCGCGGCAGGGTGCAGGCTCGCGGCGTGGGCCGCCCGCTCTGAGGGGCATTGTCCCCAATCCGGCAGTCGCCAGCCGGCCGCGATGAGGCCGGGGTTGCCCAACCTTGGCTCCCGTTTTTGCGACGGCCGGCGGCCTGCTCCTGCCCCCTCTGCACAGGCTGCCCGGCAGCGGTCTGCTCTTCGGCCTGCCTGTGGTGTTGGACACCGATAACGAGGCGATCCAAGAGGGCCAAAAGGTGATGGGCGGGCGCGCCCGCGGCAGCAGTGGCGATGCATGCCGCGGCCTCGCGCGGTGCTGCTGTTGTGGCGCTCGCTAAACGGTGCGCACACGCAACTCGTGTGCGTTTGGTGCTCACGATTCCTTTGTTCGTCTGCCCTCTTTGTCAGGTGCTCCTCACTTACAAAGGCCAGGAGCTGGCTGTCGTTGAGGTGGAGAGCAAGTGGATACCAAACAGGGTGGGTTTTGGGGTTCCCCGGGGGGAGGGGGGGGGGCTTGGGAGTGTGCAGTCGTCGCAGGCCGGCATGCAGTCTATTTCACACACGCGCCCTGCTGAGCCGTGGCGGAGGGCGCTGCTGTTGGAGGGCGGCGCGCCGCGGTGCTTTGCGTTTGGTTTCGCGATTGAAACCTGCCAGCGTGCAAATTGCCTCCCAACCGCTTCCCAACCGCCGCCAACCGCCAGGCCCTGGAGGCGAAGCTGTGCTACGGCACCAGCAGCCTGGAGCACCCCGGGGTGCAGATGATCTCCATGGAGCGCGGGAAGTACTACCTGGGCGGCCGCGTGTGGGGGCTGGAGCTGCCGAAAAGGTGCGCGACAGGCACAGTCAAAAGGGTCAAGATCATTCATGTGCATGCACGGTGCAGCTACGGGACAGCGCGTGTCAAGGGGTCGGTGCGCAGGAGCGCGGAGGGCGGGGCGCTGGGTGCTGCGAAAGCGGCGGTCTGTGCAGGCGCCGCGCAGGCTGAGTGCTCAAATTCCACGATCAGCTGGGTGGCAGCTAGCAGGTAGCATCGATCTCGAAGTGTCTGCTTTCTCGCGTGCAGCGTCTCATGAGGGTGTCAATGGGATGGGCTTGAAAACCTGGCCACGGGCTCCTGGCGTCCGTTGCCGCACCTTCCCCTGATTACCACCGCCCTCCCCCCCCCCACACACACCCCTCGGCCCAGGGTGTTCCCGTGCGCGACCCCCGAGGAGGTGCGGTCGGCGCTGCCGGCTGGCGGCGACGTGGTCGCCTTCCAGTGCCGCAACCCCATCCACAGGTGAGGCAGTGCTGCAGCAGCCGCCCTCATCCGGGTCCTTTTCCGCCCATATACCGTATGCGAGGGATGTTGCTGCCGGACAATGCTGTTGTTTTGGAAGCTTCCGCCGTGCAGCTTTGCCGCGTCGTTTTTGGGTCTCACCCAGCGGCTCGAGCGCCAACCAGCTGCACCCCTGCAGCCGGCGCCTTGATCCCCCCTGATCATTTTGCCCGCCCCCTCATCATCTCCCCTCTTCCTGCTCCCAATCTCCAACATCCCCTTCAAACCCCCCAGGGCCCACTACGAGCTCTTCACGCGCGCCCTGCACGCGCACAACGTGCGGCCCGGCGCTGTGGTGCTGGTGCACCCCACCTGCGGCCCCACCCAGGTGCGCGCCGCCGCGGCCCCGCCGCCCGCCTTTCTTTTGAACCAGCGCCCGCGACGCCGGGACCGTGCGCTTGAGCATTTGCGCCCAGGCAGCGAACACAACTCAATTGCTTCCATCCAATTTGCCTCATTTAGCATCCGCCGGGGTCACACTACGCCCGGTCTGCCTGGATCTGATCTGATCTGATCTGACCTGATCTGACCGCCCCTTGACAGGATGACGACATCCCTGGTCTGGTGCGCTACCACACCTACGAGGTCCTCAAGAGGGAGGTGCAGGTGCGCAACATGAATCCTCAACCCGCTCAGATACTCTGTATCCATCCTTGCACGCGCGGCGGGCGGCGAGGCAAAGCGCCCTGGCCGGTCTGACGGGCCCGCGCGGCCCATCCAGCCAAAGGGGTCGCTGCGTGGGGATGCGGCGCCGGGCCGCCCTTAGCAGCCCGCGGCTGGAGGCTCCTTCCGTTTTCAGGCGGTCGAGCCGCTGGCTCTGCGCCCTTCTGCAACATCCTCTTCCGCAATGATCTCGGTTTTCACACACATCCACATCCACGTCACCACCTTGCCTCCCCCCAGGACCCCTCCATCCGCTGGGCCTACCTGCCCTACTCCATGCACATGGCGGGGCCCAGGGAGGCCATCCAGCACATGATCATCCGCAAGAACTACGGTGGGGGGTGGGG